TGAATCATAGTCTATGGTCTGAATGAATGTCACGCGGTTTTGTTTACTACACACATACTGAAGCGCGCATAATGCTCGCGGTGATTTCAGCATCTGCCTTCTCACTAAATAGGACATAAATACATGAACAACATCCCCAGAACTGCTCTGAGAGTCAAAAAAATATAGTTTCTGCCAGAAATGTATTACTATTGTTCAGTAGAATGTACGTACAACTACTACTACTAAAATTATTAAGGAATAATCACAATATTTCTTCCATGTTTTAATTTTAATTGTAAATCCCCTTTGTTTGCCAAAAAATAAAATTTGTTTAATTTTCATTAATTAAAATATAAATTAATGTGTTATGCCTTCATTCGATAACCGGAAAAATTTAAATGCACAATGCAGAATTTCTAAAGACAAAAACATTTTATAAGGCTATAAATAAAAGTAGTTTTTATGCATTCAAATAATTAAACATGCTAAAACACAGAATTTGGTAACAATAAAACATAAGGTGAGAAAAAAATAGAACATTTCATAAGACCCTAAACGTAATATTTGTTAAACTTTTTAATAGATTGATGTTGAATTGTATACGTTTCATGATTTAAAATAATTAGACATGCTTTTGAAAAAATTCAAATAAAAAAAAAAAAAAAAAAAACTATGGAATCCATAAAAATTTAAACGAAATTTGGGAAAAAATCAAACGAATTTCATAGGTCCCTATAGCCTAGTTATTTATCTTTTCTGGTAATTTGAAGGTCTGTCAAAAAGTTGTTGGTCTAGAATAGATAAATAGCTGTATTGTGTACGTTTAACTTGTGTATGATAATTTTCTTCCAAATACGATAATTTTGAGCTTCTGGTACGATACTTGGACACAGGGCCGGATCTACCTCTTTTCGTGACATATGCAAAACACATTTTTGGGCCCCCCATTCCCTATTAATATAATAGGCCTAATATTACCACCCAAGCAAGCAAAAATATTTCTTAATCAGTGGAAAACGTTAGTGTTTTCTATCGCAATAAGCGCTTGCGTTCAGTCAATAAAAATCGAATGTAGTTCTTAATTTGTTTGAGAACTGAGAAAGACCGTTCCATTAATAGGCGCGGCGACGTGGCCACATTACCACTTCGGTAGTGCATTATTTCTCTAATAATTTTAACGGCCTGGAGTCACAATCACACAATTCAGATGATTTGTTTCAAGACATTTGACATGTTTCCGTCCTGAAATCTCGTGTGTGTTGAACTAGCTAATTTTTTACGCACCTCATCCCAAACCTTCCGTTGCAAATTCCAAAACTTAATTTTAGAGCTAATAACAGAGGCTTGAGCCATTGATATGCAGGCTAATTCAGTTATTAGAGAGAGAGAGAGAGAGAGAGAGATTAAAAGTGCGTGTGAATACTTGTGCCTGTGCGTCTCCCAGCAGTGTTCAGCAGCAGCGTCTACTGATAGCGAATCTTTAAGTTGAACTGCTTCAAGAACCTCGCTACTGAGAAATGCGAAACTATTATTGATAAATTCGCGGGGCAGCCGCAGCTCTGACAAGTTTCTTTTCGCTCTCCGTGTGTGCGCGAGTGCGTGTCTGTACTGTGTGTGTGTCTGTGAGAGAGAACGGGAGAAAGAAAGCATGATTTTCGTACATAAAAGGTTGAAGACATGGAAATAGTTTGTCATTTTTACCCTATTGTTTGTTATATTTATTTGCTCAATGTCTTCTGAGGTTTTGGTTCTTTTACTGTTGTAGATATCCCATAGTAGCCTATAACAAAAATATTATATCTCTTCATTGTGTTTGGGCCCCCCCTGGACGAGCGAGCATAGGCACGTGCCTAGAATGCCTATGCATAAATCCGGCCCTGCTTGGACATTTCCAATCTGGCAACACTATTCAGTTTTAACGAGGTAAGATGAAAGTAGTAAAACATTTAGTAGGTATTTGACTACTGTTTCATGATAGAAATGTTAAAATACTATCAGGGCCATAGCCAGGGTTTTAAATGTATGTAAATCCCGCCCCCATACATGTAGCCACAGGAGACAAAAACTTTTCCCCTTAACTGAAATTGACTTTTAAATTCGAATATAACTCGAATATTCTTAATAATATTTAAGTATACAAATTCTTAATTAGTTTTTTGCCATTTTGACAGCCCTATAGTTTGCATGTTAAGAGGAAATTATTGAAGGCCAAACATTTGGATAACAATTTAAAACTGTCAGTGGGCAGTATATTATTTGTCAATACCAGCTCTCTGCTTTGATTGATAGTATTTTCATTTTCATCTTTGTCAGAGAACAAAGTAAACAAATGGTCGACTGTTATGTTTTATGAATAATTAAACAAGTTACTTTACTGAAGGCTACCTGGAAAGCTACTTAAGTAAGTTTAATAAATTCACAATATGTACCCATTCATTATTAATCATATTCCTAATATAGCCTATGATAAAAACGGCTTATTTTCTTGTCCCCTCACATTGACAGTTACGAATCACTTTACATGAATCACGTCAATTCAAAATGGCGAAATTAGGCAAGTTTATTAGTTTGCATTCCTGATTATTTTTGTCAATCGTTTAACATTTCTATCATAAAACAGCTGTCAGATATGAAATGTTTGGCTACTTACATCTTATCCCGCACGTTATAGCCGCTAACCGAACCGTCGCGTTGAAATTCGCGCTATGCCGCTTCTGTGAACATAAAGCCCGCCTACTTTGATTTGATTGGTCATCTCAAATATTTGAGGGGCGGAGACGGCTGAGGCAGCTCAGATGAGGAGATTTAAAGGGGTCATATGATGCGATTTCAATTTTTCCTTTCTCTTTGGAGTGTTACAAGCTCTTGGTGCATAAAGAAGATCTGTAAAGTTGCAAAGACTAAAGTCTCAAATACAAAGAGATATTCTTTATAAAAGTGAAGAGTGAGCCTACCTAAAACGGCTCGTTCTAACACGCCCCAACATACCTACGTCACTCTGTGGAAGATTTGCATAACGCCGCCCAAATGTTCACGCAAAGAAAGAAGGCGTAACTTTTATTCTCACTGTAGTATTGTTGCCGCCGCCATGTGTTTTTTTTTTTTACTTTAAACCGCATAAACACATTTCATTACACCAAATACACAAAATAATGTTATTTTTAGCAGCATCATATGACCCCTTTAAGTTTAATCTTGGTGCTGTGCAATATCTTTGCAGCACGAAGGAAGAGTTAATTATAATACTATATTAGGCAATTATTTCACAAAGTACACCTAGGAAAAGTACCGAGGTCTGGACCTCGGTGACTTCATAGCTGGCTACGGGCATGAATACTATGCAAACTACTAGACTTTTTTTTTCTCAAATATGGCCGTTTTGTATTGAAAATGGTATCATTTAGGCCTACGTGATTCATGTAGGCTAATTCCTAACTGAATGTGATGGAAAGAGAAACGTTTTGCGTCTTTCGTTTCGAAAGAATAGTCATTGGCTAAAACATTTTTCAAAACATCTTCCACAGAATGAAGTCGTGCATGTTTGGACCATGAGAGTGAGTATGCTCACTATGTATGTAGTAGCCTATAACGTTAAATGACGTAAGAATTTTCATTTTGGGGTGAACTATCTCTTTTTAAGAGATCAGTTTTATGCCAGAAGATTATCTTTTCCTTTTCCCTCTACATTTTGTGAAATTTTGAGAAACGTTTAAGATAAGTAATTATCGATTCATCTTAAGCTCTAATGAACAACCCACAGATCAGCATCTACAGAGAGAAGCCACGTCTCAGAGTCACTCTGTATATCTTTCCTCTCTCACGTTTTTGTTTCTCCTTTTCTCTCTAGATTAAGAATATAAATATACACTAAAACAGTACAAAATATTCACTGGTTTTCTTCATCTTTCGTACGTTTGCTATGAATGAGTCGTATGGCCTGTGATGGACTTGAAATGTTTGCGCAACACTGACCTCTAGCCGCAGACACAGTAATTGCAGCGCGAGCGCAAGTGAACAGGATGCCTCATGATGTTAACCCAAACATTTGTCATTAATTATCCACGCGTATGTAAACTTGTACACATGAGAACCAGTGCCAATTATGATTTTTTTTAAGGCGAGACACCCCAGGTGAATAGGAAACTAATAAGTCTGAAAAAGTAACTAATAAATATACTTCCCCAGTTGATTGATTACATTAAGAATTGCACAAAATTTTTGTATTGCAAGTTTTCTGAAATGTTATGTTTAAATATGCAAATGAGGCTTTATCTAATTAAATATGTAATAATTGTGTACATTTCTAGAACAAAAATCTGAACATTGGATGAAGCCAGGTTCAAAATTTCTACAAAGGGTATTTTGGATATCTCTTTTTATCACTCCATAAATCAGAAAATACTGTCAACAACCAGGAAAATAATAATAATAGCCTAATAATAATAAATAAGTAAAATACATTTTCTGTTTATTAATTTTTTTATTTATTTTAGGAATAAAATGTATAAAATCAGGCAAATTACATATGAACAAACCCTCTGCAAATATCTCCAGGATACAGATATCTCCAGGATACAGATAGGAATAAAACTGTAATGTTTGTTGTATACATGTATTATAACTGAATTCTACAGATGCAAATAGATAAAGTGCTATGAAAGAAACACTTAAAAGTGTATCTTTGATGTTTTCTTTCTACTAGTCTGAAAAAAATGAAATAAAATAAAATGGAAAGCCAAAAAGCCCAAAATCTCAAAACTGACAGGTGTATGAAAAAACTGTATTTTTGCCTGTATAGTGTCTCACCTTAAATCTGGACGTGACAAGATTATCGATAAATAATTGCTTAAATTAAACACAAAGCTCATTTTTATCAAGTGAAATACGGATGAAAGGTCTCAGGTGAAGAAAGTGAACAGGATGTTGAAAAAAAAAAAAAAAGATGTAACATCACAGAGCCCTTAAAAGCAGGTACAACATTTGCCCTGTCCCTCTCCTCCGTCCTCCTTTCTGCGATCATGTGGTTCCTGCTCCTGTATTTTCAAATATCAGCTATTCAAGGCAAGTGAAATTTAATGTATTTAATAAATAAAACAAATTCCATATTCTGTTTACATGCATTGTGTTCCATTCTGCTGTTAATTGGGCATTAGATGGAATTGATTTATTTGGCATAAGTGTGTTTAATGTGCAACCAAAAGTAGTCTGAGACAGCTAATGAAAATGCTTATATTTTGTAATTCAGTGCAACATTTTTCATTATGTATCATTAATTAATTGATATTGTCAAAAAAACTATTTGAATGAAAATAGGAAAAGCAGCTTAGTATATGAAGACATATGAAGCTGATATTATTTAAAACGGGATGATGATGATGATGTTCTCCAGCTTGATTTAAGATATTGAAAAGAGCATCTTGTGTATCAAAGGAACCAAAAAGATATAAATAAATATGACCATCTATGGCATAATCTATGTGATAAAATGGCCAATTAGTCACCTAGAAATACTATAACGATCCATTGTTTTAACATTTTAACATTGTAACTTTATTTAGAGGAAATCAAATACACAAATACACTACACTTTTACTTTATACTTAAAAAAAAAAGAAAAAAAAAGATTAATCTATAGCTAGTAAAACTTGCCAAAAAATTTGTAATGCAAATAATAATTTTATTACTTATAAAAATGTCGTTTTAGTGCTACTATCAAATACTTGAGAACAATTTGAATGTGTTACATTCGAAAAGAAATTGAAAATGAATTAATTCATGAATAAAAAAATAAAAACTATTTTTATAGTATCTTGAAATATGTCCCTTATAGTATCTTGAAATATGTCTACAATTAATGTGTATATCTTAATTTATAATTAATTTGCTAATAAATTAATAAATAAATAAAAGTAGTTTTCGTTATACATACATACTATAACATATAAATACATCTTTCATCTTTTCTTTTTTCCTTGTCTCCTCTAAGTATAAATTAGCAAATATAATACTGCAAAATTGCATTCATTCTAAATCAAAACAGCTACAGTGATTAATATGTATTAGTACATGATAATGCATCTTTGTGATATAATATTTATTATATATATAATTTATTCATTTATTTATTTATTTTATCTACCTGGTGGAATGAAAATGGTAAGAATAAATAAATATTTATGCATATTAAAACACATTACATGAGTAATGAGTCCATCTTCAGATGTAGATGATCAGTGCATTAATTTGTAATTAACGTTCTAGACATGAAGAGACCAAAACCAAGGTCACGCTGTGGTTTGTGTGTCAAGCGTATGTTCTTCATAACCCTGTGTGGAAAGGCACGGTTATACCTGTGGTTAACTTACTCATGCTTATGTGAAGCGGGTTATCTCAGAATCTGCATAAACATGCAACATGCCAGAGTTTCAGAGCTGAAAACCACGGGCAGATAAGAGACCGCAGCAGTTTCTGCAGAGTATGTGGCTCATCTCTTCTCAGAACTCAGAGCCACATTTTTCCAATGACCATATAAGGTTAAAAGAGACACCATGACCCTTATACTATTATATTATATCTTTTAATTTATAAATATAACTTCTGTACTCATATGTCGTTGTATGTTTTTGTTTATAAAAACGTAAATTCAAGATAAAAGCAATGATGTACTGTACTCCTTAGATTGCGTTCTAAAGGAGCGTAGCTGTTTCAAAATAAATTATTTTTGCTGGAAAAAAAAAGATTGTTAATTTTTATTAAAATGTAATTTAATTAAATGTTTGTATTTCATTTAATTTAATTAATTTACATTTCTTGCAGGTCTCAATGTGACTTTACGCGGATCCGACAGCCCTTGTAAAGGCCGGCTGGAAGTGTATCATGGCGGTAATAAGCAGTGGGGCTTGGTGTGTCATTACGGGTGGATAAAAGAAAATGGAGAGGTTGTGTGTAAATCAATAGGGTGTGGAAATCATATGCACTCTGATGTAGAAAGGACCCGCTACAAAGATCGACTGCTACCCCAACAATATTGGATGGATGAAGTGAAATGCACATCTAAAGAAGAGAGCCTTTGGAATTGCCTATATGTTGGCATAAATGAAAAAGAAAAGTGCGATGAAAGTAGTTTTGTTGCTGTTGAATGCTCTGGTAGGTAGTATTCCTTTAACTATATAAAAAAATGTTTTATGTTTGTATTCCTGTCATCTAAGTTAGTGTTCAGATGTGAATCTACACATTGTTGATGCCAAGCTTTTCACCACAGGAAAAGTTACACTGAGTTTGAATCTGAATGGGCAGCGTGATAAATGTGCTGGTGTGGTGGAGTTCTCGACACCCAACGGCATCTTTGGGGTCTGTAATAATAAATGGGGTAAGTGGACAAAAACAAGAAGTTTATTTTATTAGCTATTTCTTCTTTATTGACCAAAATATGAGCGAGAATGTCTAAATGTCATTGCATCACAAAAAAAGAAGTCATCTCAAAGCAAATAACAGCACTTTTCAGAGCCTTTTTTGCAATGACTTTTAATCAACTGGTCATTTAGTGGATTGATGCAATTGAAGTAAATTATTTGTAATTATTTATGTGTTTAAAAGTGATGACAACTAATCTTCAGCTGCTGTTTAAGAATGCAGTATATGTATAATTAATATTTAAATCCCAATAACCTTTTTTGTGAAATGTAAATATTAATTATTTAGATGTTGATATATTCATTTTAATATGTAATTGTTAATAAATAATGTTACATTAATACAAATGCAGTAATATGCCGTTTGAAAAGGTAATTCTCGTAAAATGTTCCATATTCGAATGCAAACAATGTGCTTAAGTGTAAATAAATAGTTTCATCCCAAATTAAATGTGCAAGCAGATGTTACTCTAGACCTAATGGCACTTTTCTGAGAGCTTTTTTTTTAATTTTTTTTTTTTATCAAATGATCATTTAGTGGACTGAAGTCAGTTCTCCCAAAGACCACAGAACGTTTTTTCCCCAAGCTTCCAAACACTTTTGGCTCCATTTTGAGCAGTGTGTGTCTATTTTTGTAATTTTTTTTTTAACTCAATAAACTTTTTTTGTCATATATATACACTACCAGTCAAAAGTTTTTGAACAGTAAGATTTTTCATGTTTTTTAAAGAATTCTATTCTGCTCACCAAGCCTGCATTTATTTTACCCAAAAGCAAAAGTATTAATATTGTGAAATATTTTTACTATTTAAAGTAACTGCTTTCTATTTGAATATATTTTAAGATGCAATTTATTCCTGTGTTCAAAGCTGAATTTTCAGCTATTACCATTCAAAAACTTGGAGTCAGTATAAATAAATAAATAAAAGTAAATAATACTTTTATTTAGCAAGGATGCTGTAAATTGATCAAAAGTGATGATAAAGACATGTATAATGTTACAAAAGATTTCTATTTCAGATAAATGCTTCTTCTGAACTTTATATTCATCAAAGAAAGCTGAAAAAAATCTACTCAGCTGTTTTCGACATAACAATAATAATAATAAAAAATGTTTTTGAGCAGCAAATCAGAATATTAGAATGGTTTCTGTAGGATCATGTGACTGGAGTAATGATGCTAAAAATTCAGCTTTGGAATCACAGGAATAAATGACATTTTAAAATATATTTAAATAGATAACAGTTATTTTAAATAGTAAAAATATTTGAAAATTTGACTTTTTATTGTACTTTGGATCAAATAAACGCCGGCTTGGTGAGCAGAAGAGACTTCATTAAAAAACATTACAAATCTTACTGTTCAAAAACTTTTTACACACACACACACACACACACACACACACACACACACAGTATGTTACAGTACATTAAAACAAATGGAAATTGATGTTTTATACAGTGATACATACAGTATTTTATTAGAAATAATGATTAATTGGTTCTTCTCAGTTTAACAAATCAAACCAAATAGCATGTGCAAGCAAATGATACTCTAGAACTCAGAGCCATTTTTTTTAATGACGATCACTTTTAATCAACTAGTTAGAACTTTTTTTTCAAGCATCTAAACATTTTTTTATGCAACGACAAACAAAGTTAAGACAGACTACAATCCACAGAACACCAATTTTGATTTCATGTCCTTTAATAATGGTTTCTTCTACAGTTTTGATGTCATTTTTACATTTGTAAATTATTATTTGACAGTAGATTATTTGAGAAAAGCTTTAGTACTCACAATGATGCTGAATCTTTATGCATGCATTTTCTTTGTTGTTATGTGTATTTATTTTTTTCATCTTGGCCAGATGAAAGTAAAGCAAACAAGATATGTCAGGAGCTTGGTTGTGGAGATCATCATTACATCCCCAAGCTTGGAGTGTTCAAAGGACAACAGAGCGAACCAAATGTATTGCTTAATTGTGTTGGCAATGAGCAGTACTCTTGGCAGTGTAAGGAGCAGTTTGACTGCCAGGAGCGAGCCAGTGTGATCTGCAGCAGTAAGTGTTTACTATTATTAAACAGCTCTATGGAGTACGTTGCTCTGACTGGTGTAAATGAAATGGTGCTGAAACCCCTTCTGGGTGATACAATACTTCCCAGTATTTCCATGGTTTGTGTGAGAGGTCAAATTCACATTTACACAGAAATACTTGTATCACACAGATCACACCAGGTTCCGTCTACAAGATGGCAGCAATGTTTGCTCTGGGTTGGTGGAAGAGAACACTGTCAAACACAACTCATGGAATCCTCTTCAGCAGACGAACGTGAGGCCTGAAGTCATCTGTACGCAACTGAACTGTGGTTCCACTGGAAACTTTACAAACGCTAATGGAACTAACAGACTGACGTGCTCAGGTGATGCTGAGTTTCTTGCTTTAAATAATATTACATCTTTATTCATATAAGTAATCATTATTAATAGATTTCATATATTAATAATAAATATGTAATTATAAATAAATAAATGTTGCATTAATACAAGTTTAGAGTCACACAAGTTTTTTTGTACAATGGTTTAGTGTTAATAAATTGTGTTGTTCCGTCTCAAGTTAAATTAATACGTTTTAATGTGTGTTGAAATTTAATAATAGGATTATTATTACAGTAATAGGGTTGACATTGTGTGTTGACATTACAAGGTCAAAGTTAAACTAATGTGAATATAATTCTTCTGATATATCTATATTTATGTACATATATTGTGGTATAGACCATTAATAGACTATTTAACAAATCTTATTTAAAAATATAAAACCTTTTAGTAATGCATCACATGACCAAAATCAAATCCTTTTTATGCGTAGATAGATAACAAAGACAACTTTATTTGAAAATGATTTTTAATAGTAATAATAATGACATTTTTAAAATGTTCCGATTTTCTAATCTTGCAAGAAGCGCAAAACACAGTTGTAGAAATAGGCCAAAAAAGACATCCTTCTGTCACAGAATTTTTGCAGATTTTTCTAGTTTAACACATTGTAAATGTCAGCTCAACATATTTATTCTTATCTTATAAAACTTTTAATTATAGCTACAAATATTTTATTACAATGAATTAGAATTTTGCCCTTTTTTATTAGGCATTGTAACAATTACATTTGCTGTGTTCACAGACAGCGTGAAACTCCACAACTTCACAACAGAGTGTTTTGGAGATGTTTCCATTGATGTGAATGGTGCTAACTATGAAGTGTGCTACAGTGATCAGTCCCGTGAAAATATGGGGGCGGTGGTCTGTCGAGAGCTTGGCTGTGGTGACATAGTGCTTGTGAAAAAGGGCTCCGTTACTTCTAATGGTTTGCTGAGTAATGTTGAGTGTCAGGGCGATGAGCGGTCACTGTGGCATTGCCTGGCAAATCATGAGAAAAAACGTTGCACGGGAACCAAAGTTATATGTTCAGGTAACTAAGACGGCTTTGCAGGTAATTATAATGAACTCAGAATCTAGGACAACCAGAATCACCCATAACTGATAAAGTCTATGTCATACCAATAATTTTTGTTGTTGTTGTTGTTTTACTATAAATGGCAGGCAGCTTGGATGTACGTTTACGTGACGGTCTGGGTCACTGTTCTGGACGTGTAGAGGTGAAATGGGAAGGCTCATGGAGGCCCATTGGCTATGACAGGACCACTATGAATTCAGACGTGGTGTGTCAACATCTCAACTGTGGTACATCCATTCAAATAAATAGAGAACTTTTCGTTGAAGGAGAAAAGGAGCCACCGGAATGGCTATGGAATGTCAGGTGTAGAAGCTCTTCAGCAAAGCTCCATGAGTGTTTCGACAATACTAACTTGAGGATACCATATCAAAACGAGAAAAACACAGAAATCATTTGCAAAAGTAAGACAATATAATATGCACCAGGCATACTGGTCAAAAGTTTGGAATACGTGAAATTTTATTATGTTTTTTAAAGAAGTCTCTTATTAAGGTTACATTTATTTGATACAGTAAAATGAGTAATATTGTGAAATAAATCACAATTTAAAATAAGTGTTTTCTATTTGAATACATTTGAAAATGTAATTTATTTCTATAATGGCATAGTTGAATTTTCAACATCATTACTCCAGTCTTCAGTGTCACATGATCCTTCAGAGATCATTCTAATATGCTGATTTTCTGCTCAAGAAACATTTCTTCTTATTATTATTATTAATCTTAAAAACATTTGTGCTGCTTTTTTTCTGGAAACTGCGATACACTACCATTTAAAAAAAAAAATAAAAAAATAAAAACTTTTATTATGAATGCTTTTATTCATCAAGGACACATTAAATTAATCAAATGTGACAGTAAAAACACTTATAATCTTACAAAAGATTTGTATGAATTTTTTTATTTTATTTTTTATTTTACTTTGTATCCATCAAATCGAATCTTTAAAAAATGTGTCACTAAAGCATTAAAAAAAGCAAAACTAAAAAAATAAAAGTTTTCAACATTAATAATATTAAGAACCATTATTAACAATTGAGCACCAATTATAACTGATGATAATTGAGCACCAAATGAGCATTTTAGAATGATATCTATAGGATCGTGTGACACTGAAAACTGTTTTGCATCACAAGAATAAATTACATTTTAAAATATATTCAACAAATATCTCATTATATTATTGTTGTACTGTATTTTATAATAAACACATCTTTGAGCATAATAAACTTCTTTCTAAAACATCTTAATTATTCCAAATGTTTAACCTGTAATGTAATATAATACCAATCATGTTTTGTTATGTTTGATGTTAAACTTTTTTTGTTTACATAATTTTAACATGCTTTGCATGATCCTAGTAGTTTTTAGTTTTGTTTATTAAGTAAATAAGTCTAAGGTGTTACTTTGATTATATTGCCTGTGCAACATGCAGTAACCACAAATCCGTTTTATTTGTTCTCAGAGGAAGAACTTAAGTTCTTTGAAGGCAATTCTCCCTGCGAGGGAAAAGTGTGCATCGAGCAATTTGATGGTAAGACTGATTGGCTGCCTGCTGAACCAGAGGAAGAGAATAAGAAAAAAGCCACTGACATATGCAAGGCAATGCAGTGTGGATCTCTGGTCTTCTTTGAAACGGAGCAAAACACCACACATGCCAAAGTCACATGTTCAGGTACAGTACATGTGGCACCACAATGCCTTATTGCTTTTAACCTACTCTTATAAAACTAAAAAAAATATATATATATAGATTTTTTTGCCTCCGGTTCAGTTTAATTCTTTTAAAGGATATAAACTAAATAACATGATTTTTGAACATTTTGTGCCAACCTAATTTTATTGTGTTCACTCTACCTAATATATTTATAATTGAAGTTTGCATAATTAATTTGTGTTAAAACTACATAAATCATTTTTGTTGACATAACTAACTGGGTAGTGGATCTTTAGTTTCCAGCATGCTTTGCAAGGGACTGCATTAGAACAGCAAATGTTTAATGTTCAGTAATTTTGGACATTTAGAGGAGTTTCTATAATGTTTTTGAATTTTGTGGTTACCATTGTGCGAAAGAGTGTCGCCTGTGCTTAGGCTGTGGGCACTCAGTGAGTAGTCGCAATTCTAATGTCCGTACTTGTCTTTTCTAATTTGTTCATTATATGCATTGTGTATAATGATAAATGTAATGGATTGTTTAAGCATAAAAAAATTAAATAAACCTCAGTAAATATAAAAATGTAGTTTGACAAACCTAAACCACTTAAAGGTGGGGTAAGCGATTTTTCAAAAACGCTTTAGAAAACTGATTCGGGCAGACTAGCAAAACAAACTTGTAGCCAATCAGCAGTAAGGGGCGTGTCTACTCATGATGTGGAGGAGAGAGCGTTCAGTCCAGTGTTGCCAACTTAGCAATTTTGTTGCTAAATTTAGCAACTTTTCAGACTACCCTAGCAACTTTTTCTTCCAAAAGCACCTAGCAACAAATTTAGCTATTTTTAAAAATGTATTTGGCAGCTTTTAGCAACTTTTGATAAGTGACTCAAACGATAAAAAGGCACAATTTACCATTTAAATTACACAAAAAGAGGAAACCAAAGATGCCTAGCAGTACACACGTTACAGGAATTAAGTTATCTGCTATCTGCAATTGTTTAATAGTAATAATAATAATAATTGAGGGGCGAGACCCTTTTGGGGTAGGGGCGTGTTTGTTTTGGTGATTTCAAATGTCAACATTTGCTACCAGAAATCTCTTACCCCACCTTTAAATTGTGTTGACCCAACTAAATAGATTTATTTTGAATGAACTGAATTAAATTGTGTGTATAAACGTCCTTCACTGTCATTGAGGGTAGTGAATTCTTTTTTTTTTTTTGAGTGTAATATATAACTTCAATTTCCTGAAAACTTATTATCTTCTGCAAGATGCATGTAGTTTTATTTTTCTAGAGGGCAAAAAGTTGCATAGTGTAGCTTTAACAGTTCTGTGTGTAAAATGCTTGTATTCTTACCGATGCCACATGTAGGGTCAAAGCGCGTGGAGCCTCGAGTGGCACTTCAAAACCCCCTTGGAGAAAAATGCTGGGGAATGGTGAAGGTCTGCGGAGATGGCACGTGTGGAGGGGTTTGCAGCAGCACTTGGAGAACAAATGAAGACTCCAAAATGATCTGTGGGAACCTGGGCTGTGGAAATCCAATTCAGGCCCAGTTACCACTTCAGATAAATAATCGACCTGCCACTTACCATAGTGTGTACTGCTCAGAAAAAGTACGAAATATGAACATGTGCAATTTTATTCACAACAAAAACTCCACCTGCAAATCCCTAGCCCAAGTGATATGCGCAGGTAATGTAAACAGTCACTTTATTCAGGACCAAAACTTTACGTTAACTCCTGCTTTATTTATCAGAACTTTATGGGCTTGTCACAGTCAAAATTGTTAAAGGGATAGTTCACCCAAAAATGAACATTTTATGTTTATCTGCTTACCCCCAGGGCATCTAAGATGTAGGTGACTTTGTTTCTACAGTAGAACACAAACGAAGATTTTTAACTCAAACCGTTGCAGTCTGTCAGTCTTATAATGGAAGTGAACGGGAATCACACCTTTGAGAGTCCAAAAAAACATACACAAACAAAATCAAATTAAACCCTGCGGCTCGTGACGATACATATTGTTGTGTAAAGACACGAAACGATCGGTCTGTGCAAGAAACTGAACAGTATTTATATCATTTTTTTACCTCTGATGCACTGCAATGTCTGAACTGTCCTGAGCGCGTCCTCGACAGCCAGCGCTTGACGCGTCTTCTTCTTCTTCTTGCTTTACGGCGGATTGCAGACTTATAAGTGCATTACCACCACCTATCTCTCAAATGGACCATTGACAGTCTATCTACAATCTCAATTAGCAGTGTCAATGGTCCATTTGAGAAATAGGTGGCGGTAATGCACTTATAAATCTTATAATTTATAAGGCCCCAGATTATAAAAAGGTAAGAAAGAGATGGTTTTTAAAGAACCTTTGACTGAATGGTTCTTCGTGGAATCGAAAATGGTTCTTCTATGGCATCGCTGTGAAGAACCTTTTGAAGCAACTTTATTTTTAAGAGTGTAGATTTTTAACAAAAATTAAATTTGTACCAAGGGGGCGTTTTACCCCACCTATGGGGCAAAACGCCCCCCAGTCTGACAAAGCAATTTGCTTTAAACATTTACAGCAAAATCAGAGTACAGACAGTTTTTGCTTAAAATTAAAAAGAATATAATCAATATGAATTATTATGAATTACAAAATTATAAAAGCCTATTTGAAACATTTTGTTAGCTGATGCTAACTGGCTAGCTAACTAGCTACCTGATGCTAACTTGAGGTAATTTTTAAATATAAAATCCAAATATTTTTATTCAACCAACTAGTTAGAATACATTTGATGGAAAAACAAAGGATTTGATGTTCAGAACAGAATAACTAGTAATTGCTCATTGCCAACTGGGGGCGTTTTACCCCACAGACTACACATGTTATAAATAACCTTTTTAATGATAGTTTTTCATTAATATTAGTGTTAATATCATTAATATTATTATTATTTGTATATATTATTTATTAATATAGTTTTTACCCCTCTATCTGCCTGGTCTTATAATATCTTGAAGTGTCTATTAGGGTTTTACAACAACAATAACAACAACAACGTGTCAATTAGGTACTTTTTTTAATGACGTGAAATTGTAGCAAAAATGACAGTGTTCTAACAACAGTTTTTAGCAGAATACATTAATGAATGATAATCGACATTAAACATAAATAAATGCTTAAAGAAATCAAACAAAATAGAACATAAAATAGTGAATTGAAGACCACGCTCCAGTGAAATATCTTCACAATCCTCTATTATGCCTTTTAAGTTAATCATTATCTGTATTTTGGTGTGATTGAATGGCAGTTTCTCTCTGCAGATGATGAGGTTGTAGGAAGTGACAGCATCTGAAATGCACATCTGAGTTTAGATATACAGTTTGTCTGCTTTAATTTGTTTATGTGAAAACAATTGTTTATGAAGGCCAAAAATAGTATGTGAGCACTTCACAATGTTAAAAAGAAAAAGTAATATAAAGTCAACAGTTCAACCCAAATATTCAGATGTGTGCAGCGCATTTTACGGAGGACGAGGACTGTTTCCTGAACCGGTAGCCTACAATGCTTCTGTGCACAAAGGCTCTTTCTATAAAGTGGGGCAATTCCAACTTTGCAAGGACAGTCTGGCGCT